AGAAACTGATGATGGTGGAAAACACCGAAACGTATTTTAATTGATAAATAGACAATAAATGACTGAAGCCCAGGAATTGATTTTGATTTGGAATCTCTTTTTTACCTTTGGACAGATGTATTGCGAGAGCAAATTTATCACTTATATATGGTTTGATGGGAGATTCCCTGCGGGCTCACTACACAACTTCCGAACAAGAATCGCGAACAAAAACAATAATATTTTCGGGATTTTAGCGCAATTCTTTAACCTCGGCATCGTCCCCCGAGACTCATTTTCGGCCTCTGTTTCGACAAGGCACGTGAAAAGTTTCACTTTGGCTGCGAGGGAAAACTCGGCAACTTTGCGCCACTGTGTCCGGTTGGCTCAAATGAATCATGACGAAAACTTGATTGTTTTCCGCGTAACATTTGGACGCGACAGCAATCGATTACCGCCCAAAGTTGAGTGAGGGACAAGCATGTTTTCCCCATTCCTCAAGCATAATTTGCGACGACAATACGCGTTAATTGGCTTTGCTGTTTATTATTTTTTACGGCGACTTTAGGGGTCCTTATCGATGAATCTGGGCGCGAACAAAAGCAAAATCATCGTAAAAACGAACAACCTTTTTCGGGCTTTTGTGCGAGGGCCAGTTTGGTTTCTTTGCGTTGTCGACCTCTCCTTTGAGTCGCCCCTCAAAACGCTCAGATTGTATTTCAAATTATCGTTCTTTTACAAACATCCAGCCGAAAGGCCCTGTTTGTTCTCTCTTTTGCCCAAATGGAATTGTTGCGCGACCGACTTCCTAGCGGAAATGGAAACGAACAGTGCAGGTTTTGATAGGCAGGAACATTGGAAAGTTTGCTAAAAAAATATTGCGTGCGGGGGAAAAGACTTTTTCCTTCTTGAAAACCCCACTCTTTAGGGCAGATGGGGGCAGTTTTTGTGCCATCGAATTAGGCCTGAGTAACACTGGGTTGTGTGGCGCTTTTGTGTTGATGCAGCACTGTGCGTCAATGCGTCATAACAATAATATACGAATAACACTTTAAATGAAACTTGAAAAATGTTCGAAACACTTTTTGCAGCTTCCAATTATGGACAAAACCCTAATAATTACTTCTAGGTCTTTTTCCAAAAATATTTCCTCGAACTGAAAAAGCGAAAGTTTTTAATCATTTATTTAACAAACTCTTGGAAACTGGGGTTTGTTCACTTTCAGGTCAATATTTCTAAACGCGAAAACCGTTTTTTTCCTAGCGTTTTACTGTAAAATACTGGCAACTGAATCTTTTATGCAAAAAAATTGAGAGATCGATTTTACAAGAAAACTCGTCGACTTCTTTTAGACTCAGTTCTCTTGCTGGGAAAATCTAGATGACTTTTTTAGTTGCTTCAACAAAGTAGTAAAATATTACTCAGAAAAAATGTCAATAGCCCTTTTTTAGATGTGAAAATGCCAGTCTCGGGTCTCGTAAAACTTTAACAAATGAATTATAACTCATTAACCGATGAGTTATAACGCGTTAACTCAGAGAGCGGCAACAACTCAATAGCGCAACTCAACACAGTGTTACCCAGGCCTACTGTGATATTTTATCAAAACAGCGACAGACGATCGTTTTCTGTGGGTGTTTTCACGAAATATCGAAGGAATTTTACCGCGGCTCATAGAACCCTTAGAAAGAAATTCTATTGCACGACGGTTTAAAAGCCGGAAAACCCTTTTTAGATGTGAAAATTCCAGTCTCGGGTCTCGTAGAGCTTTAATAACTCATTAACCGATGAGTTATAACTCGTTAACTCAGAGCAGGGCATCAACTCAATATCGCAACTCAACACAGTGTTACCCAGGCCTACTGCAAGCTACAAAATATTCTTTCAACCACGAAATAACCGCAAATGAAAACTAAGTTGCTTCAACGATTTTCGACACCTGTTAAATCGTCCAACTATTCGCACCTTTTCTTCGAAAAGTCGCTTGTGAAACATCTAAGCTTCACAAGCAGAAAACATGTTGTAACTCATTTGTTCCACTCATTACAACAGCGCAACCGGCGTGTGTCATAGGCTGTATTCAGTAAAACCCAACAAAAGAAGATTGAACGCGCTGCACCGCTTAAAAGCCGATGGCGCATCAAGTAACAGAAGGCCTGGGTAACTCAGAGAATTTTTATGAGTTGGCGCAGTGCTGCGCAAATGGCGTGAAGCGCCAACCCAACTAACTGGCACAGTAACCCAGTTCCGTTACTTATGAAAAATGAGGTCCCTTTTTTTGTTGTTTGGACAGTGATCGAACGTTACTCAGAAAAAATGTCAATAACCCTTTTTAGATGTGAAAATTCCAGTTTCGGGTCTCGTAGAGCTTTAATAACTCATTAACCGATGAGTTATAACTCGTTAACTCAGAGCGCGGCATCAACTCAACACAGTGTTACCCAGGCCCACTGCTAATGTTCCCTATGCAAGCTACAAAATATTCTTTTAACCACCAAATAATCGCAAATGGAAACTAAGTTGCTTCAACGATTTTCGACACCTGTTAAATCGTCCAACTATTCGCACCTTTTCTCCAAAAAGTCGCTTGTGAAACAACTAGACTTCACAAGCAGAAAACATGTTGTAACTCATTTGTTCCACTCATTACAACAGCGCAACCGGCGTGTGTCACAAGCTGTATTCAGTAAAACCCAACAAAAGGAGATTGAACGCGCTGCATCACTTAAAAGCCGATGGCGCATCAAGTAACAGAAGGCCTGGGTAACTCAGTGAATTTTTATGAGTTGGCGCAGTGCTGCGCAAATGGCGTGAAGCGCCAACCCAACTAACCGGCGCAGTAACCCAGTTCCGTTACTTATGAAAAATGAGGTCCCTTTTTTTGTTGTTTGGACAGTGATCGAACGTTACTCAGAAAAAATGTCAATAACCCTTTTTAGATGTGAAAATTCCAGTCTCGGGTCTCGTAGAGCTTTAATAACTCATTAACCGATGAGTTATAACTCGTTAACTCAGAGCGCCGCAACAACTCAATAGCGCAACTCAACACAGTGTTACCCAGGCCTACTGCTAATGTTGCCTATGCAAGCTACAAAATATACAGTGTGGTCCAACAAAATAGTTCGATTTTCCACATCTGAAAACCTGTGCTTTGATGAACTGCTCATCAATCATTCCCGGGCAAAATGAAACGTAAAAACAAAACACTTGATTTTTTCGTTGGCCAACATCCACTCAGGCGGACCGGTGCTGGAGGTAAATATAAAATAAATGAGGCAAATCAAGTTTTCCAGATTTCCTCAAGTATCCGTCGAAATAAAACGAAAACTTTGCGATTCTGTAGCGGAAACGGGAATAAAAATTCCGGTGTTTGCGTTTCGCTCTTATTCTGCTCCGGTTGTGTCGCTCGCTTAACGAGGCGCGACTGTCTAATGTTTTAGCGGGTAGTGATTTAATCGTAATGTCGACCAGCCATTGTCGAAATATCGACAAACTCATTAGTGTGAAAAGTGTAATTGTGACACCGGTCGTGTGAGTTGAGACATGTGACAAACGCACGCTCTTGACACCTCGCGCAATCACGTAGGCTGTCGCGCGATAACAAATGAGTTTCTCACAGTTTGATTGGTCGCACTCATCTAGATCTAGGGCGACGTTGCCACACTTACCGGTATGCGTTCTTTGGTGGGCCTTCAAGTGGGAGCTTTTCGTGTAGACCTTTTTACATCCGAGGAATTGGCACTTGTGTATTCGTCGTTTTGAGTCCGGAGACTGATCTAACCTGCAATCCAAACCACAGTCTCTGTTGAGTGCTTGTGGGAAAAAGTGAGAAGCGGCTAGTAAGAGAACAGAATCCTTGCGACGTTGCCTTGCCACGCTATGTCAAATTTGAATTTGGTACCTCAAATTCTCCATACACCGTTTCTGTGTTATTTAAAATGCTCATGAGGTGATTCTGTTTCTATGAGTTTTCTAATTAAAGTTTTTATGAGTTACTAATGGCAGTATGTATGGCAAGGAATGTATCACAAAATTACTGCTGCATGTTATTGTTATTTTGTGTGTATAATACATATAAAATTATTTTTTAGTTGTTATTTATTGTTTTCAAAAGTGTTTAAAAACCTGGCATTATTTACTGATTGATCATACAAGTTCATCATATGAGCTGAAAGAAAAATGCCGTGGACATACGCTTATCTACGGTTTAATCTTAAGACTGGTTATGCGTTATTTGAACTGCCATTATAGCTTTTCGCAATACATTTCTTCTTATATAGCATATATGTTCTGAGATTAGTAATAGAGGGCTTATCCGAGTAATTTTT